TCACCTCTTCTTTGTCATGTTTTTTACGGCATCATCAATTTTACAATGACAGCTATAAAGAACCAAGAACTAAAATATGTGCTGCAGCCTAAAAATTAGGTATTTGGTTGTAAATTTATGGATGGGCAACTTCTTTGCTAACTTTGTTTTTTTCAACCTTGTGGTTTTGAAATAATTTTGAAGTCACATAAAGTCCGCAGAAATAGCACATCAGTGTACACTGTGCTCCAGTTTTCCAACTGTCTCTGCAAAGTTGCAGACCTGTGCCCTACGGTCCCCTCATACTTCAGGGTGTGTTTCCCAGACACAAGGGCACTCTCTCACCTACACGCGGAGAAGCCATCAAAGTGGGAAACTGACACTGATCTGGTGCTACCAAGGAAATCATGGGTCTCATTCACTTTTGCCAGTTATCCCAATAATGTCCTTTTTGTCCAAAATCCAATCCATGATCATATGTATTTAGTTTTTATATCTTTTAGTCTTTTTCTTTTCCTTTTTTAAAAGAATAGCTATTTAATTTTATTTATTGTTATTATTTTTTAACTTGGTATATAGCATGTGTGCTCACCAGAGAGAGAAAAGGAGAGCGAGAGGAAACGTGAGAAAGCAAGCTGCCAGGGCCAGGACTCAAACCATGCTCGGTTATGTGGGAGTCCAGTGACTTACTCACTGCTCCACCTGCTGACCCTGTCTTTTAGTCTTTTGAAACCTGAATCAATGATCATCTTTCTTTGTCTTTCATAATCCTTCTAAGAAGTCCAAGCCATTAACTTTGTAGGTGCCCCTTAGTTTGGGTTTAATGATGTCTCCCGACGTAGCATGTCTGCAGTGCAGCACTGAGACGGCGCCGTGCTCGGAACACCGCAACAGGCCCACAGTGTGGATTGCACCTGTGACCAGTTAAGTGACTCTTCACCACTTGGATGAGATTGTAGTTGCCAGGTTTCCCTACCCTAAAGTTACTCCATGTAATGTAACAACACATCAATAAGTAACTTTGAAGTACTTTGAGGAGAACTATTTTGAGGACATATAAATATGGTCAATTCCCGTTATTTGTGGCAGTTGTAACCTATGACTTCACCATGAACACTGAATCAGCAAACGCTGAAGCATTGCTCCTGGGGAAGAGCCAGGCTTGGGTTTCTGTCACAATGCAGTCGTCAACTGGTAGTACATAACCTTGTTTTATGTGTTTTTCCGTTTAAACCCCCTTCATTTAATGTATATTGTTGACTTTTAACATTGAACTCATGGTCCACTGCACTGAACCTCAGGCCTGAAGGAAGCTTATCTAGCACAAGTCTCTGCAAGGCATGTCACAGGCTCTTTGTGCTTAGGGACCTGAGACAGTGGTGCAGCAGTACACTCGGTCATTCAAAACAGCATGTCTCCCATAAGCACAGCAATGGGAAAAATACGGCCACCTGCAGTGACAAGGACCCTCCTTTAAGATAATTGAAACAAGAAGACAGTGTGCCTTGTTAACCTTAGCAGCGAATGGGTGTTTTCTACAAACCATGTTTATTTGTGTATTTAGTTTTTGTTATAGGGCAAGTGCTTTTACCAGAGAGAGACAGAGAGAGGGAAAGTGAGAAATCACCCCTCAAGGGGGTAACCATGCCGCAGTGTCTTCTCCTCTATTATCCCCTGGGGATTTGGGGCACGCATGCACATGCACCCTGTGCGGTTTTCAAGCTGCCAGATCCGGGACTTGAATTGCACAGTGGGATCCAGTGCCTTCACTTCCATACCACCTGTTGGCCCTGAATCAAATGTTTTACTTTTCTGTGCATGTCAGTGAAAGTGCTGCAAGTATGTTGGGGGGTTACAAATAAATTTGAGCAAGTAGACAAATTTGTAAATAGGAAGTAATGAAGAGTGACTGTGTCATTGTCCCCATTAGACTTTCACTTACTGGTGCTGGCGTTAGCATTCATTGATCTCAAATCATCCCAGACTGGCTGCTGTGATTTTCCAAGCTGTCTTCAGTGTCTTTTCTGACATGTCCCTGTTATTCTGGGTGCATTCTTTAATTTCTTGTTATACAATTTTTCCAGGCTTATCTTGTATATTCTGTGCCCCAACTCTGAGGTTACACATTTCTCCAAGGAGTTCTGGTTCTTTTTAGTGGAAAATGGCTTTTAGAAATCAGCAATTGGGTGTTGGGTAGGCTCATTCCTCCTAGGGTGTCATGGCTTCTAAACTCTTAGCAGAGAATTGGGCAGTATGTGTTCACTCGTACACACACACACACACACACACACACACACACACATTGCCTCCATCCATCTCTTCCCTATCTCTGTGTATCATTTTATCTACTTATCTGTCTATCTAAACCATCAATTCACACTGATGCTTCTGGCTCTAAAGTAATATTTAACCATACCTCTCTGAAATTCCATGCTCTGGCAGTTGAATACTGAGTCTCATTAATGTCAATGTATTTATTTATTTGCTCAGTCCTCCTGTATTGTAAAAAAAATTCAGAGCCATTGACCTGGGGGTACACCCTGGCCCTCCCCTGCTGCAGGGCACCCAGGTTGAATGATTGGCCTTCATCAAGGAGGAGGAGGCAGACAGACGAAAGAGGGAAACCAACTTAGACTCGTTGAAGTCTGAACTGTTGCTAAGGTCTTCTTATACATAAAAGCATATTTTTTTCTTTTTAAAAAATTATTTATTATCATCATAATCTTGTTTATATTACATTGAATCACATATAACTTTACAGTGTATTGCATTTCTTTTCCCAGAAGGAATACCATGCATATCAGTCAAGACAGAGACACTACAATCCCCATTCAGATTTTTTTCTTTAATGAAAGAAAAGAATCATCATATATATTTTTTGTTACTTTTGAAATTAAAGGGCTATTTCGTTATATCAAATAATTACGAACAATTAGTTCGACATAGCTAGTCTCTCTTAAAATACTCATGGGTTGCATACGCTGTGTCCTTGTATTAAAGAAGTTTATATCTTCCCAGATATTTTAGATTGAACCCATTGGCTCTTTGTATATTGCTAAAATTAATCTGAATTCTTGCATGTTAAGATGTACCTTTGACTTTCTAATTTTAAAATTTAGAGTATGACATTTTGATTTACAGTGTTTATCAGGGAATATAGGATAATTTTATGAATCACTTTGATTATTTTTTTTGATGTGTTTTCTATGCTAAAAATAGAGTGCGGATCTTAGTTTTATAAAATGCTAATTTAAACTTTAACAATTAAGCTAAGATATAGCATATTAAATTTAATTTAAATTTTGAAATGATACTGAGTAAGTGTCAACTTCCTAAGTTTTAAAGTCTGGTGCATAGGAGGCTAGGTTGGTTAATTTTAATTAAATGACTTTATTATTTTGGAGCATAAGGAGATAACTGTTCACAGAGATAAACATATTGTCAAAAATAATGCAGCTCACCTTTTCCATGAAGGCATGCAAGGATTACGTAAATGTGCATTAATTCATGTTATAGACTTGAAAAATATAAAAATGTGCTTACAAAAATCTCTTTTTATTTTCCTCTTCGCCAGTGTTAGTCCATTGGGAGAACTTAATAGTTTGATGTTAATAGAAGGGGTCTTCAAAAAGTTCATAAAAAGTAAATATTATAAAAGAATGATTGCATGGATTTTATTTTATTTTGGCACCAAAATTAACTCATACTTTAATTCCATTTTCCATGACACTTTTTGAAGTGTCCTCATATGTACCAAGAAGTATGTGTTTGACCATATATAAACATGCTGTTTTGGCTTATTGGATTTTTACTTCAATATGATTACAAACACACATGTATGTCTATGTCTGCAGCTTGCTTTGTCCATTAATACAATATTTCTTGGAGTTCTTTTATGTCAGTCCATGTAACTATTTCATTTTAAACTACCACATAGTATTCCATGATATGGCTGTGTCATAATTTAGTTCAACATTTACCATTGCTGAATGTTTAATTTTTTTCCTCCTAATTTTTGCTATTATAAACAATGCTGCAAAAAATACTGGCATGTGTATCTTTTTTTTTTTCTTTTTTTGGAGAGGTTTTTGCTATAGAGCGTGTGTGCTCGCCAGACAGAGAGAGACAGAGAGACAGAAAGCGAGAAATCACCCCCCAGGGGGATGGCCACACCACAGTCCCTTCTCCTCCATTCTCCTCTCGGGATCTTGGGCACGCACGCACATGCGCCCGGCATGAGTTTAAGCCACCAGATCTGGGACTCGAACCGTGGTTGACTACATGGGAGTCTAGCGACATAGCCATTACACTAACTGCTGGTCCCTGGCATGTGTATCTTGAAGTGTAATAGATGGCAAGTTCTGGGAAATAAGTAAGTGCTTAGACTCAAAGATGGGACTTTTCTTTCTCCCTTAAGGGACAGTTGTGCAGATACGAGTTCGCCAGCACTCGCGGTCTGTCCACTTGGGTGATCATGGCTAGGTGTTCTCCAGTCCAAAGTATGGGGATGTCTGGCCTCACGGCCGTGTCCCTTTCACCTTTATAGCCATGATTATTTCCTGTTTCACCATGAGCCTGGACGATCGGATGTCCAATATCGTGTTCCCATTCCTGAAATAGAAAATGTAATTTGGGACTGTCTTGCAGGGGCTTTGCGCATTTAGAGGACTGGGATCTTCACAGAGAGTAACATTATTTTAATCAATAAAAACTGCAAAGAATTTAAGCAGTTTATGAAATAGGAGCCATTGGTGGAGTACTGCTTCTAAGGATATTTGTGTATGGGTATGTTTTCAAAAATTAAAAAATTTTCTTCTTTTACTTGAAAATTTAAAAAAACGACACCAAAACAAAATCTATTTAAGATGAGATGATTTCTGAACACCCTCGGATTTATTTTTATTCTCTGTGACAAATATTGCTCAATGGCTAATTCCAGTTCATTTCAAAAACAGTTAGATTTTATTTTGTTTCCCATCCATTGTTTATAACATTCATTTGTCATTTTTGTCATTTTGTAGACCTACCAAGAGCAGCTGTCAGGATCTTAAGCAACATGACATTCCTTTTTGTGAGTTTGTCATACACAGCTGAGAGTGCCATTGTAACTGCTTTCATTACCTTCATTCCCAAGTTCATCGAGTCACAGTTTGGTATCCCAGCTTCCAATGCCAGCATCTACACTGGTAAGGCACTGCCACGAGGGCTACTTGAAAACGCGATCCTTTTGACCACTGAACTAAAATGGCATGAGTCGAGAGAAAGTACAATCTAACCTCGAAGTGTTAACCGAATCCATTGACAACGACCTTCCCCCCAGATTTGAGGATGCGGGGAGCCTGGTGTGTTCTTTCTGATTCAGATCGTGTAACTGTATGGCATATGTGCCCACTGTGTTCTGGAAAAAGCGAATTTTGCATATTTATGTTTTTATGGTTCTCAGTTTTAAAAAAATGAAAGAGGCAAGGATATTTGAATTGAAATCTAAATAGATATTTTTACGGGTTGGCATGGATCTTAAAATGTTAAGTTAGAAAAAATTGTTCGTTTGAAATATACATCAGATCCATGGCATCAAGATTTTCCCTTCATAAATGCGAACAGGCTTTAATTGAATGACTGGGTATGTTTCAAGTTAAAAAGAAAAGTTATGAAAGTTTATTTTAGGTGTTTCATGTCAGGGCAAACTTTCTATTTTAGCAGACTTTGATACATATACTGATAGTACTTATTACTCAAATCTTCTTTCATAATAACCAGGATACATAGATATAGACATGTGAGAACATGAGTTCTCAGATATTGAGGGCATTTTCAGTGTATTTTAGCATGTAATATTCTAAATATTTCCTTAGTGACACCAAGGATAGTCAAGTGACCGTATCTTCCTAAAGGCTTAATTTATTAGTAGGGAATAGTTAGTCAGTTGAAGTGTATTTAAACAGTGCAAACTTAGGGGCCAGCAAGTGGTGTGGTGGTTAAGGTGCTGGACTCTTACAAATCCCAGACCTGGACGCTTGAAACATATATTGGGTGTGTGTGTGTGTGTGTGCCCAAAACCCAAAAAGGAGAATGGAGGAGAAGGGATTGCAGTATGGCCCACACCCTGGGGGTGATTTCTCACTGTCAGCCTCTCTCTTTCTTGTTATAGAGCGCACATGCCCTATAATAAAAATTTTTAAAAGGAAAAAAATGTGCAAAATTATGGTGACTTCTAAGATGACTTAGACTCCCATCTTCTCTGATTCCACGTTAAAAACCAGTGAACTTAAATTATCTGAAAATGTACAGTCCTGGAAAGGGTTGATTTTTCACTTTCTGTCTGTCTCTGGTGAGCACATGCACCCTATAGCAAAAATCTCTCTTTAAAAAAAAGTTAAAAAACATACTGCTGTGGACCACTGTAATTGTGACATAAACGTTTTTCTCTTTCTCAGTTTGTAAAATATGTTTCTTTATATTAACATAAAATTTCCAGATTATTTCATAGTTTAGTTGACAGAAAATCGAAACCTTCCATTTCTTTTTTTAAAATTAATTTATTTTTATTATCATCATAATCTTCTTTATACTACATTGGATTACATATAACTTTACAGTGTATTACATTGCTTTTTCAAAAGGGAATGCCATGCCTGTCAGTCAATACAGAGACATTAATCTCCCCACCCACTTCATCATTCAATATCTTTTTCATTGTTTTTCCCAATCATTATTATTATTATTCTAATTATTTTTTAAACAGTCAATCACTATTTCTCATTTTGCTTGTAAAAAGACTTTACCCATCATGAAATACTTCTCAGACCAATCCAGTTGAGAATACTATACATGTCATCATCAACAGGTAATAAGCCATATCTGTTCCCCATTGATGTCCTGCCTATTTGTTCTCTTGCTATCTGTCTCTGTCCTCTTCTCTTCACCCCCCCCTCATTCCACACTGTCCTATTCTCGTTAAGTACTTTCACTGCTTTTATGTCCTCCAATATTTTGCTCTCTACCATAGAGTGCAGATAGTCGGTTTATATTAAGTGGATACATACATTATCTTTCATTCATAGCCTGGCTTACTTCACTCAGCAATAGATCCTCTGTATCTTAACCACTTTCTATCAAATGCCAGGGTCTTGTTATTTTTTATGGCTGCGTAGTATTCCATAGAGTATATATACCACACGTTTCCAATCCATTCATCCGTTTGTGGACATTTAGAAACCTTCCATTTCTAGTGTAACTTCCTTTGATGCTTTGACCAGCATTTTTTTTTTTTACAAGGATACCAATGATTGTCTCAAAGCTAGACTCAAAACCATACAGATGTGAAGTGTAGAGTAGTTTCAAACATTTTACAAACTAAATTTAAATATTAAAAGACATTACTGGAACCAGCAGATGGCATAGTGGTTATATCACTGGACTTCCACAGGGGCAACCGTGGTTTGAGTCCTAGACTTGGTGGCTTGAAAATCATGCCCGCCACACATGTATGAATGCCCAAGATGCCAGGAAAATGGAGGAAAAGGGATTGTGGCATGGCCATGCCCCCTGGGGGTGATTCCTCATTTTTCTTCTCACTGTGTCTGTCTCTCTGTCTCTCTGGTGAGCAGACATGCCCTAAGGCAAAAATCTCTTTACCCAATCCCCCAAAAAAGATATTACTGAAAAGAAGGTTCATAGTCAAAATAAACGTGGAACTTGCTGAGTCAAACCACATCTAATGGAGTTCTTTATTGCACCACTTCTCATCACCGTCACTATGCATTGTGAAACTTCAGAGAAAGATTTATAGTCTTTTCCAAATGTATCTGACCATGAAACACTATTTTAGAGGCATCTTTCTTGTGAATCGTGTTCCCCAGGAAACATGGGGGAAGCAATCCATTGTGCCTTTGTCCTATCCAGGCTAAAAAGCAGAGCTGCCTAGAGGGTCCCACTTTCCTTCAGATGTGCTGTTTTGCTTCTGGGAATCTACGGGCTGTGTGGTGGTGCTGAGCTGGGTAGGAATCAATGTGCCTTTGCACTTTGACCAAAGTCACCTCTTCATTATTTGTAGAGACACGCAAGATAGCCAACTCCTTTTGGGGAAATGAAGTAGACAGCTCTGCTGGACCTCGGGTATCCGGCTGCAGGGTTCCACAGTGGTGCAGTCACGGCAGCAGTCACTAGACATGGCCCCTGTGGCTGGGGGCATAGGACTGAATACGGTTAGCTCAGGGAGTCCGTTCATCCTATGCTCCCATGTCGGGATTAAAGAAGTGACATCACAGAGACAGAGTGCCAACTCCATTCTGGTCTTGTCATCAGCAGGCTCTTTTTTTTTTTCATTGTCAGTGTAACTTATACCATGTTTAATAGTCTACTAACTGTGTTCACGTAAAAGGCTTTTGATCCCTGGTGCATGTACTTTCCCTCCTTTACAGACAGACTACAAATAATAATATTCAAGAGCTATTCAGATTGCTTAGGAGTAGAAGGTGCCCTGTTCTATTACAGTAAGATTAAATACAGATGGTAAATCTTTCTAAAACTCCTCTTGGGTTCTTAACTTTTTATCAATTAAATCCCCTTCTTTTCTGAGTATAGATTTTTATTTTTAAGGGACCTATTTAATTTGAAATCTTTTGTTCTTTGAATCCTTTTCCGTGTATGTAGAATGAAATGGAGAATTAAGAAATTTATCTGAAAAAGATTTAAAAATAGTTTTTATTTCTCATCTTGCCAAGTTTTTGAGTTCAAGTTCTCTTTTCATATAAAAAATTTAGTTGGAGTCCAGCTGTAGGAGTGTATGCTGGTAGATGCTGGCTCTTGACAGGCTAAAGTCACTTAGTGGCCCAGATTTATTCCTGGTTCACCCTAAAAGCCAAGCATGGTAGAATGCACCTGTAGCCCCAGTTACTCCGGAGACAAAATCGTGACATAGCAACACCCTGCTTAGCCAACAAACAAATAAGTGTAGGGGTGAATACCTTGCCCCTTCATAGCAATTTGCTCGTGTTGTATTCCATGGTCAGGCATAGTGAGTGCCAAAAGGTAGCAAAAGATCAACCCTTGATCCCTTGCTCACACAGATCCTCACTGAACACCAGCTCTTTGTAAGGCCCTGGAGAAATAGAAAGACTCAAACCAGGGCCTTCAATTGCCCTCAGATCTAAGAACAGAGAAAACGGTTGAAAGTAAGTTGGAGAAACGCATTTAAGTAAAGTAATAGATTTGGGCTGCAGTGATTATTCTGGCTGGTGTGGTTGTGTGTTTGCTTCTTGTGTCATGGAGGAAATGGCTTTTAAACAGGCGTTAAAGGAAAAGTAGAATTTGCTCACTTGGCATTTGGAGCTGAGCAAAGGCTGGGCAGCCAGGGAAGGATAAGGCCCATAGCAGAGAAAAAAGCAGATCATCCCTTGGCCAGAAATATGGAGCACCCTAGAGGAATGCTGGTGGGGTGGGAGCAATGCTTTCTGGTACCAGGGGTGGGGGATCTGTTTAGGCGCCCTCCGCACCACTTGGTGCATACTGTCATGGCATGGGGAGACCTGTGCTCCATGGGGGGTGGTGACACTGCCTGCAGGGCATCGTAGCCCCATAACCTAGCCAATTTGTTCCCCCGGTGCGTGTGCCTACCCAACATGCATCTGTGCACGGTGCACTCGTCCATTCGTGGGTTTGCTGCTAATCCCACTTGGGGTTACATTTATCTCTTGAAATGAAATATTTTGAAGTTGATATTTCGGAAAAGCTTGAAATGCTGGGAACAGCCTTGAAGGAGGAGTTAGTGTGGACTTGAATCTTGCAACTGCTGGTTACTTGCTTTTGACTTTGGGCAAATCATCTACCGCCCGAGACTTTAGCTAAAACTGGAGTGTACCCGAAGAGTGAGGATAGCCTCTCTGACTCCCTGTGTCAGCGATGTAGCAAATGAAGTAGTGAGCAGTTACTTGTCAGATGTCTCCCTGACTTCAAATAGGTACATGATATAAATGGAAAGAATGTTAATCACGTAAGAAAACTATTATTTATGATGATGATAGCACCCTACATGGGACGTTGTACAGCTTGAACGGATCTGAGATGAAACCTCCATAATAAAAATTTAAAAAATTAATTGCTGATATTTACTGGGTGTTTATTAAGAGCCAGCATTTTGGTATGGATAACATAATGTAACCCATGTAACGGATGCCTATGCGGT